GGTTATCGTATGGGTTGAGTTAGGGCATGGGTAATCGTATGTTTTGAGGTAGGGTAATAAGGGGTATGGTATCGTTTGAGTTAGGGTAGGGGTTATCGTATGGTTTGAGTTAGGGTAATAAGGGGTATGGTATCGTTTGAGTTAGGGTAGGGGTTATCGTATGGTTTGAGTTAGGGCAGGGGTAAGGGTTAAGTGATTCTCACCGTGAACCAACGATTGTCATGTGTTTGCAGACCCGCGCAGCCGTGGCGCCGGCAGCAGTCTGGCGGGCAAGATGACTAAGGTTCTGGACGTGCCGCTGCGCGCGCTCTACGACTACGACTACCGCACGGCCGACGGCCGTGACATCGCCATCCGCGAGGGCGACACGTTCACACTGCTGCGCAAGTCCAACGACGACTGGTGGCACGTGATTCGCGATGGCGAGCGACGCCCGTTCTACGTGCCCGCCGCATACGTGAAGCCCATACAGCAGCAGCGGCACCACCACGACGCACGTCAGGGCCGCGAAGCTACCGGCGCCGCCGCCGACGTCGCCACCTACGAGAACCTACGCGAATGGACGGCGCCGCCGCGCGGTGCTCCGAGAACGAGCGGCAACGCGCTGCCGCCACCCGTCGGCGGCGGTCTGTACCGTCCAGCAGGGGGCGCTAGGAAGCCGGCTGTGAAGCCGCGGCGAAGGCTCGGCAAGGGTGACGCGAAGACGGCATACAAGTACCTTAGCCGCAGCACAGAGAACCTGGTGGGAGAGGGCGCCACTCAGCGGTCTGCGGCACATGTGGAGCACCGGCGCAACGAACGAGCAAACCGTGCGAGCCTCACCGACGGTGGCGACCTCTTTGATCGGTACATCGATGTCCGGCCATTAGGCGGCGCCCCCAGACGAGCAAAGTCGAGTGACGACCTACTCGGGGAGCCGGAGAGGGATGGGAAGCGGACGAGGAAGGTGGGGAAGGGTGACAGGGTTTATGGGAGCCCGGACGGAAGCTCCGACAACCACAACAACAATAACAACAACAGCGCGCCGCGCGTCTACGAGCCGATCCACTACAACGCGGAGAGCGACGGTGGCGCCCTTACGGTGTCGCGCATCCTTGAGGAAACGGCGGCGTACAATGAGCTGCAGGCGGGCCGGCCGACGAAGCACAAGGACTCCGGCTTCAGCAGCCTCGAGCGCGCTCTCGAGCCGACGCTGGCACCCCCTGCCACCGCCGACCCGCCGTATTTCGAGCCAGAAGCCGACTACGACAACCTGTCGGTGGACGAACGCGTTTATATAGGGCCGGCACTGAAGGTGGGGGCGCCACCGTTCTACAGGTATGGCGAGAGCGAGGAGGCATACGCGCGGGTTGGGCGGAGCGGGGAGGTGCAAGCGCCCCCTGGTGATCAAAGGGCATTCGAGAATCCCGCTTACACGAGTCCGGAGACGGCACAGGAACGGGATGAGCGGTGGTGGCGGGATGATGAGGGAGAGATTCCGAAGGAGAAGGTGCCGCTGCCTTTAGACCCGGAGGGGAGCAGTCTGAGTTCATCCACATACAGTCTGGTGAGTGCTTGCCTCGACATGTCAGTGTCTCGCCTCAGTGTGTCATCCTATGTCTCGACTCACAATGTCTCACCTCACTGCCTCGCCTCACTGTCTTCAATGTTTCACCGAGCAGTGTTTCTCGCCAATTTCTTGCCTCAGTGTCCAATATCTTGTCTTGATATCAAGCATCGGTGTCTGGACTTGGTGTCAAAGCTCTGTGTCTCATAATCTCGACACAATGTTTTGCCTCAGTGACCCGGTTTGCTTGTCACTATTTTCACGGATTTGAATTTCGTTCTCGTTTGAACAAAGTGTGTACATATGACAAACTAAATCGAGGAAATATCGCTTCCTGGCATTGCCGTGCAAGTATCTCACGAATGCCCACAACTGGCTCAATCGTGTGACCGAACAGAACTACTTTATGTGTGAGATCGATTGAGGTGCCATTGTGTAAGTTTTTTAATTCGATGTATATGAAACATCCATTGAGATAGCGAAGGTCATATTACATGAGATATTAACTAAAATATTGGCTGTACTATCGGCACAGATGTCTGCACGGGAGGTATGTCGTGTTTGGTGGTATAGTATTTTACTATGTTTGCACGAGACAAATGGTTTACTAGGCTAAGTAGACTTCACTGTACGGAATGTTAAAATCATTACTGTACGGAAACGACCGTATGCTGTGCTCATTCAGCTATGAGGATGTACACAAAACTGGTCGGATGATTGAGGATTGATCGGATGTAGTCTCATCGTGGATTATGGTCTGTTGGGTCAAATTATCAGCTACGTTCGCGTTTCACGACGTATGCGCGTGCGTGCGTGCGTGCGTGCGTGTGTGGTTTGTGTATGTATGCGTAGTTGCGTACTTGGCAAGTGTTCAAATAAAAATATTTGCACCAGCCACCACGTTTGTGTTCAAGGCAAACATAACTGGGCACCTGTGTTGTGCGGGCTGCCGAAAGATGCCGAGCTGTGTACTGTAGGTCGGTATTAGGATGATTAGGTTGAACCTACTGACCAAGCCTGCTATGTCCAATCCAGGGATAAGCATTCGAACATAGATAGTGTCAGTCCCAAAGTCGCGATTGGATACATCTAGCTAAGACCGTAGTGTGTGTGTGTGTGTGTGTGCGTGCGTGCGTGCGTGCGTGCGTGCGTGC